ATAATATATATATATATATTTCTATCAATTATATGTATTTATATGATCAATAATTTTTCTCAGGCACTTGAAGTTCTTAGTGATGTTGGTGACCAGATTTGTTTAAAATACTCACGATTACCTCTTGAGGATAGAATACGCCCGTACCTTCCACCCGCCCCCGAAGAACACAAGATAAATGGTGATACAACGAAGATGAACGGTAATCACCACTTAGCAAACGGCACCATCAACGGCAGAATGAAACATCATCAAAATAGCAACGGTAAAGTCAACAGACGCTAGTAAATCAAAGCTAAGATAATTACCACCAGATTATTGCCCAATAGAGTTCAGAGTGTGCGATTTTATTTAGAGAGAGAGAAGGTAAAAGCATGATGTGGAATGTTGTCCGTGTAGATCTACCCATTGTTTACAAAGAGTATTGGAGATAAACACAAACATGTGTTGTGTACAAAAGGTCTTTGCTCAGGTTAAAGGATAAATTGGTTTATGTAAAATAGATTTTAATCAGTGAACATGTAAACAGTATGCTTCTCATTTTATCTAAAATTATTTCTCAAATTTCCGTTTTTATAAGAATATAAAGTATTGTTCAAATTTATGCTAAATTTTGATACATGAATTAACTGTATAATTGTAAGATATCTCCAGAAGCAAACAATGCAAACTTTTAGGCAGTTTAAATTTCAAAAGCTAGCCAATATTTATTGGAGAAAAAAAAAACTGTCAATGTATATTTTTTTTTATTGTTAGTTGGTGTTCTACTATTTATTTTCTATATCTACAGGGAATGGGATGTTTGCTTCCCGCAAGAAAGTGCTCCCATCATGCACCACCCAGAAATGCAATGCATGATGGGACACAAAGAAACAATACTAACACACATTCTTGTCCAGTTGCTGTTATTAGTTTCGAAGAACTAAATTATAGGTACATAATCTATTAACCTCATAAATAAAAGATTTGATTGGTTATTCAGTATCATGTGATGTACAGTGAGGTTAATGTGTTAATTGTAATTTCACCTACAAACGTAACCATCGAAAAACCAGTATTATATAACAGTATCCATTTTTCAAAGAGTAATTATTACCATAATTAATATTACTAAATTTTTTATTCTTTTTCTAATTTCTTGGATTGGTTTTATGTTCTTGACACTTGTTTCCAAATGATCAATGCCATACATGTGCAAAATATTCAAATTTGTTGGCAGTAAATCTATAGCTTGTATGGCAGTGTCTTCTGTCTTTATACCTCCAATATTATACTAAAGAGCTTCCAATCGTATTCATAGGTCACTGAAATGGGCTAATAACTGGACTCGTCCATTAATGCCAAGGAGTCCCATAATCAATGTGTGAACATCCGCACATAATATTCATATATTTATTAATTTTACAATATATTTATATATATATATTATAACATGTTCAATTTTAAAACATAAATAAAATTATTTACCTTAAAGAATATTTCCTCAACCTAAAAAATGTATAAACAACATCAGTCTACATGCTGCAGTAAAAATATTCAAGTTGAGGGCAGTATATATGTAATGACATCATAAGAGTTATTTTTGAAAATAATAGTGCTAACTCCAATACATTCGATACTTTAAAAATAGAAGCTTTATGGGAATATATTCACCTGCAAAAATTTATGTTCAAATTGCATGGCTACAGTATTATTATTATTATTAAGAATTATACTAAAACACGCTTAAAAAAATACTGTGAAAGCATGCTTAAAATATACTGCTGTTGCATGACGCTGCTTTCGCTGCCCTAAGGTTATAATCTTAAACAAAATACAATATTTAAAATGCTTACTTTGGTTATTGAAGCAAGTTCTTAGCTTTGAATATTAATGTGAAAGATATTTTCCCCACCAACTAACAATGCTGCTAAATATTCTATATCAGTAGCCTTTGAAATGGCTGGAAATCAATCCTGAAAACTTCTCTAGTTACTGTAAATCAATAAATTGTCATTGAAAATTATGATTGTTTTGAAATACACTATTTAATGTTTTTAGGAATGAGGGGCTTTTTCCATTTTTTTTCATAACTGAGATTAAATCTTTAACATAAACAACTAAAATAATTTGATATATAAACTAATTTTATTATCTATATATTTGTGATTTCATTATTCAGTTGATGCATAGTAAATAACAAAATAACCAATTAAAATGCAGTGAGAATTATCTCATAAAATGTACACTAACTACTACATTAATTAGTTTAGATGGTATTCCATTACCAAGGCCACACTAACCCATGTGTTGGCTTCTGATAAATGTCTATTACCTGCTCATTGAAGTTTAGTGCTTACATAGTATTTCATTAAGTGTCTCCTTTGCTGTACATTTAGATCTAAAGGTTTAGATGGGCAAACAGCTCCTTAAAATTCTGGAGCCCTTTACTGTTAAACCCCTTTGCTGGTGGGACAAGGGTGCAACCTCACCTTTTTCAAAATCTGTATTTATGGGGCTTTTGTATTAAGAATACTTTCAGTCTTTCACATTTTCAAATAAAATAGTCAAATTGGCAATAAAATGGTACCTATTTTCCAGACATGGAGAAAAATGTCCTGTTCTCCCCAACCATTAAAAATGCCCCCAGCACCAAACTTCTTTACACTGTATAACACAACAGTGGTCTTTTTTTGCAGCAAAAAAAAAAAAAAAAAAAAAAAAAATCAGGGAAATGTGCGATGTGGCACAATTAGGCCATTTTTCCAGCATTTGCTTCTTTCCCTGACAAACTCCTACAGCTCCTCCACCAAGGGGCTCTACATATATCTAATATTATTATTCATTATTATTAACATTATTATTCATTATTATTAATATTATTATTCTTGTCACTATTTTGTATTACTATTCATTATATTATGTTGTTTGCTGTTTTTATTATTAGTATATCAGATTATTATACTGTATTAAGTTATAATAATGGGAGGTGATGAGAATTGACTCTGCATGATTGATACACCAATTTGTGTTTCACACCAGATAATGAAGCTTTGTGAGAAGCTAAAAAAAGCTGAATCTGCTTTTGTGAAAGAAACTCATAATTGAACAAAAACTTATAGGCTCTTCATCATATACAAAAATTTAATTATTTGAAGTGCCTAACATTAATAGGTTTGAATATCAGTGATATATTTTGGGTATCTTTCCACTTTTTTATCCAAAGATTGATTATATTAAGGTAAACCTTTGCATACTGCTATAACAAAAGCAAAAGTTTTTTTGTATTGTTTGCCGTTCACATTATTTTGGTCCCTTTAAGCTTCCTCCTTGCTACACCAATAATACAGGTGTAAAATACTTCTTTATATAGTTCATATATAAAGAATTATATTTGTGATTATTATTGCTATTATAGATTGATAAAAGCATAGTAAATATTTTCTTGTATAAAGAATTTGTGATTTCACTCGGTGTTTGATCTCCACTGATACCATATTTATTGTCAGCTGTAAATTTTTTTAGGGCTCTGAATTACTAACCAGGCCTGGCAATCATGTTTAAAATTATAGCCACTTTTACTCCTTCAAATTTTCTTCCCTTCACTCACCCTCTTTTTCTGGCCCCTTATCCCACATACCATTAGTTAAATTGATGAAGGTTTACATAATTTTGTAATGTTGTTTTTATAAATGTTTTTATTATTAGTTAAAATATAATGATAGAGGTACGAGTTGTCCATTGATGTGAATTAAAGTGAAGGTCACAAATGTTCAGTTGAAAACTTAGGTTGCACCCACAATAATTCTAATACTTATACAAAAGTAAACATCCTGAATGTAGCCATCTTGTGACTGGCTGTGATATTGCCTGTCATAGAATGTAATATGATCATTCTAAGTTTTCCATTCATTTGATTGGCTGTGAGATGTGTAACCTCATTAAATAGAGATGCTGCAAAAAGGCTAACGCTTGTGACCAATCCACTGCTGTACGAATTCATTCCGTTCATTGTTTGTAAGTCTCTATGTTGCCAAAATCTTTTATTTCTGTCGCTATGTTCTTAAATTATATAATATATTCATAAAATTATCTTGCGATTATCAAGGCACAAGAAGTAAAAAGAAAACACCAAATAATTTTTGATGATATTTATCATCGATTGTCACCTTGGCTAATGTAAGCTAGATTACAAACCATGTGGCATGCTCTACCGAACAAGGCCTCAAGTTGAGTTCCAAGTTAACATTCACATTCCCCATTTGTTTACCGTTGCTATATTAACTTTTATGTAATTTGTTAATATTTTTATTTTGTTGGAGATTTGTTTTGCACTTGTTTTCATCCCCTTGTAAGCATTATGTATAACTTATAGTATCAGAATTTAATATATTTTTATGTTTGAAATTAATTGTGTATAATTATTTGTTTCATTTGATTTAGCTTTATATTAGAAAAAGATTAATAAACTTAACTGCCTTGGATCTAATCTTGGTTAAAAGCAGCTGTGATAAATTGTTAAAAACTGCTTGGATGTAAGAGATTAGATCTAACTCAGATTTAAATCTATTTTCTGGATATTAAGACAAACCACCCACTTAGTTTCCATTATGTCCGATGTATGCATTTGTGTTTTTTTATGTTTTGAATAATGTAAGGATACCTTGATAATAATGGAATTTTAATTTTTAATTTATTTTTAATTTAGCCCTTGTATTTGATACTTAATATAAATAATACTGTATACAAATCTAGTATGTGGATTTACCATTTAACCCTATACTTCGACCTAAACTTTTCATTTGGATCAAACTATATCATTTTATTATTACGAATAAAAATATAGAACCAGGGTCATAGCAAAAATAATCAGAGGTCTAGTAATTTTCGGTGATGGGTGGAAGGGATGCAGAGGCCCAACCAAGGCCAGTGCTTCCTAAATGTGAATGTTTTGAGCTTTACACTCTAATGCTATTGAAAAGAGAGTTGGCATCTTTGTTATTTTTTTTTGTGCTGAACACTGCTGTCCAGCTTCGACCAGCCTAGCTATAGCCCTGAAAAGTGTAACTAACGTTGTACAGTATAATGCATGTTGTGTATCGAAGTCTAAATTATTATTATTTAATTGAAAGCTTAACAAGGATGGTGAATATATACTTTTAAATATGAAACTATAATATGAAACTTTTATGCCTCCCATTTTGGTAGAGCAAGTCACAATAATGTAGTTGTATATACTTTAGTGAGTAAATTTAGGTTAGTAAATAAAATTTAACAAATTAATTATATTTATGAATAATATAGTTAGTTGCTATGGTTATCATTATATATTCATGATGCCAAACAGTAAAACATGAAGATGGTAATATAACTACCGTATCTAATGATTGGTTTACTATTTTACATTGGTTTACTTTTTGTTTTATACAAAACATACAATAATGTTTATGTATATGACTCTGGTTTTTTAATATATTATAATATAATACTGTTTATTTACACTTTGCTAAGGAGGGTGTTTTTGGAAACTGGTTTGATTGTGGACTGCACAAATTCAGATTTACCAATAAAAGACTCAACGTTCCATTTTATTTACTGTTTTCTTATTTATCGTGTACAAATGAAACGCCAAGTAACAGTGTGTAAAGGGGGTGGGGGCGGGGCAGGCCTGGGGAGGAGACCCTCCGAAGCTATGTCCTTTTATGTATTTAGATGTCTATTGATGACTTTGTATCACTCTTCATCCTAGAGGCCCATGACACCTGGGCCCCAGGATTGTTTCCTTTGCTGTCCCCTCTTGGAGCAACAAGCATGAAATATCAAGAATAGAAAATTATTTTAGAAATTTTATTTTATTTTCTCTAATAAATTTGGCAAGTTTTGACACCCTCATCTGGCTCTAGCTAAAACATCTAACGAAGAGCAGGGCAAAAATTTAGGGGGAGGGGGTCGGCCCGGCAATGTTTCTCTCCCCCCACCCCTCCTCCTCTTGGAAGGTTGAAAAAAAAAGAGAAAGAAAAAATTGATCGCCCAAAACACCTCAGGTTAGTATTATCTCGATCGGCCCCACTTTCGGGGCCCCTTTTGGACATCTCTGGATCCACCCCTGAATAGTGAAATTATAGTGTTAAAATGTTAATTCTAAAACTGAAAACCCTCCCCACTCCGACCATTGGTCTTCAATATGTACTTTGTGTTCCTGGCACCACCCCCTGATCATGCAGTACAGTCTCTAGAGTTGGTAAATTTTGTATTCACTTAATTATTTTCTTTTATCTCTATATTGTATTTTCAAACGAGAAAAACAGCAACAAAACGAAAAAGAATACAGCTTGCATTCATTCTTTAATCTACCATTCTGTGAATAGCTGTGTAAAATTTGCCTGCTAGAATGACTTGGTAGACAAATAATATGAACACTTCAGAATACCATATTAGAATATTCATAATTTTATTACCAATCAACAGCATGTCAGAACAACTGATGATACTTTAGCAGATCAACTTGAGTGTAGTACTGATGAAAATTAATTATGCTGTAACTAATTTATGTAATTCAATATGACAAGATTAAAATGCACTTGAGTGAAATAAATCGGCATTGACGTAGGACATCGTAATAATAATGATGGTCATTTTTACATAATGTCTTTTCCTAACACTTACAAAGCACTTGCATAGGGAATATGAAAAAAAGAACTATAGTGTAGTGTAGAATAATAAATCAGACATATTTTTATTTTTTTTTGTCAATTATAATCACAGTGAGAAAGCAAAAAAGTAGCACTTTTGAGACTTGTTTTTCTGAGGATGACCTAATAAAGGTCGAAACATTGAACCATAGCCTCCCTTTTATTATTCGGAGTAACGTTTGTATATCACAAGCTTTCGTATACACAGTACACTTCTTGAGGTGAAGTCATAACAATAAAATCAACTGGCACAATTAAAATACAGAGGGGGAAGGGGTCTGTTCCGATTCTAGACCCTTCCTAGGTGATTTATAATGTTGACTCAACATACAGTACCTTTGTATTCTAGTGACAACAAAGTCATGTTCACTCAGGGACTTATAACTGTTACCAGAATAGGAAGCTGGCTGGTTTAAGCCCTCTTACTGGAATTAGTCTTATGTGTGGGATTGTTATGCTAATGAGCCAAATAAGCACAATCTGCACATGCTCAGAAGAACAAAACTTTCCTTTGCCCTACTCACAACTCTAACATTAGTACTGCAACTCCCCAACTATAATGTTGCTATATTCAACACAGATATTATTTGTAATTTGGTAACTTTTAAGTTACCAAATTTAAAAATCTTTAAAATTCCATAAAAAAAAAAACCAGCACCCTTAAATGATTTAACAGTGTGTGAAAAGCATATTAAAATTTGAGACTTTAGAACATATCTAAGATAAATAGAAAAATATAAGTATTATACTTGCAATGACATGGTATGTAATTGTAAGTATACAATAACGAAAAACCAAATCCTTTTGGGGGCCCCTATACAGTGGTGGCAACAGCGGGAGCAGGGGGAATTTGCTCATCCGTCGGACAGGCCGGGAAACCTCTGTTGTCTGATGCACAACTCAGAGGCGCATCTTGAAATGGGGGTGCTGATGGGGGTGCGAAGGTGAAGTGTGGAGGGGGGCTAGATGATCAGTTGAGGGGCACTAATGCACAAAATAAGGTGATTTTAGGTTATTTTTAACTACTTGTCCATGATTTATGGGGGCACGAGTAATTTTTGGAGGGCGTGCGACCCCCCCCCCACCACGTAAACCCAGATACACCGCTGGCACGACTAGGTCGTCGGATAAAAAATAAAAGAAATAATAATTTTCCTTCCCCAATAACAGTGTGGTCTAAAAGCACAATTTGGACCATACTAAGCCATGAATGCTCCGTCAACCCTACAAGGCAATTTTTATTCGTCAGCACCTTGGCTCGGACCCCTCCGTCAGGACATGTCGTACCCCTTGTCAGCAAATATCTGGCACCACCGCTACTTCTATACTAGGGCACATAAGGCTGGAGCTTAACCCCAGTTTCTGAAGTGTGAAGTGGATGAGAGTGTCATACTCCCCATGGATGGGACGCTAGTCCATCACAGGTTAATCATGCTTGCCTAAAAATGATTAAAAAATAAAAATGTAATGATGCCAGCTTGTTAGTTCCAACATCAGCATTATGTATGTGATACCCAGTAGTGTAGCTAAATGTTGTGCAGAGTAAACATCACCTCATACGACCTTACTTTGTGAGCTTGCGCCCCCCCCGCCCCAAGACTACTAAATGTACCACAGGTGACATCCATTCTCACCAACACAATTTATGACATTTTCTCACAAAATTCAATGACAGCGTATTCACCTGATACCATCCAGCCAGGGTGCTGTGCTTCAAGCTTCTGGGCAAGTCCCTCACTTAGCCCTACTATCAAATCAGCCTTTGATGTCCGCAAGGCGCATAGTGCTGTTGGATGAAAGCCGTGGAGTGCTTCTTTAAATGGCACAGTATGCTCCCAATCCCTATCAAGCACCAGTTTGCGATAGTTTAAATCACCCTTAAATATGAGTAAATTTGATTTCGTAAGATCGCGGTACAATTCTGGTGAGACCGTCTCCATACTCGCAAAACTATGTGGTGTTGTCCAAAATTTATGAGACTCCATACTCCATGATTTATCTTCTAACTTCTGTCTAATCGATTTACTCAAGTTGCTTAAACCTTGGTTTTCATTCCCACCTAATACATCAAGCGTCCATGCAAAGTCCACAGGAGTAACATCGGACACAAACCATGGCATTGCTTTGCAGTGGAAATGAATATCATCAACTAAATTCAGCCTCGTAAGACACTCGGCCAAGCATAAATCAGATAAAAATTCGTAACCTGCATTATCTAGAATGAAATCTATGCGAACAGATCCTATAGATTTTGCCTGTTTTAACTCATCCCAGACTAGACCTGTTTTGTTGATAAGAATTTTTGACTTGAGTTCTTGAAGCTGACACAGAGGGCTCACTTTCTGGCTGTTTTCTACGCCAGCAGAAATTGACAGGTCGCACTTGTTGCCCCATAATGACATCTAAATGATGGTTAAAAAGAAAAATACATTGTTTATCTCAATGATATAAGCCTATAATATGTATAATAATATTGATTATTGTGTTTACTATGTATCCAATGCATGTTTTAAACATTTATAAGTTCCACTTCTATTTGAACTTCAACATTTTCACAAAAATTAAAAATACATTGAACAGCTATATAACAGTAAAAAACCATTAATTATTTAAAATAGTAAATTAAAAATTTATCTAAAGCATAAATGAAACAAAATCTTTCGGTGCAAACCTGCCAGCCGCCAAAAATGATGATTTCATATAAAAATAAACTTTATTTTCGGCCAATTAGCTCACTAGCTGCCACGAAAAAATGTAAATCTCAAAAAAAATTATTATCATTATTTTTCTTACACCTGCTGCTGCCTTGAAATCTCTAAAGATAAGATTTGTATATTTCTTCCTAATTATATAAATTTACAGAATATAACTAACCCATTACTGGTAATGGTACGGGCATTTATAATGCGCTCCTTCCTTGCGGTTATAAAGCGCAGTCCCTTTCCCTGGTCATTGGGTCCACATGCTAAGTGTTGCTGCTGGTAATCAGCGCAGGAGCAGGCAACCCCACCAGGTACCCAATCATACTCCTGGGTGGATAGAAGCAATGCAGATAAAGTGTCTTGCTCATTGACACAAGCAAAATGCACAGCGCGGGATTGAAACCTGACCTCGAGGTTGGGAAACCAAACCGTTCCTGCTGCGCCAAACCGCTTCTACAACACTGTTTATATTCACCAATAAAATTCTATTTTTATTTTCTCCTGCATCTGGATGTTTTTGGCAAAACCCTTTGCTAAATAAAAAAACCCACAATTTTATTTTTTGTTTTTTTTCCCGCCTCCCTCTGACGATCTTTAAAAAAATAAGTTCGCGAAACGAGGTATAAAAAAGGTCACGCCTAAAATACAATATACATATCGGGCATGCAATCCCAAGACCAGTTGTAATACATTTACTCATAACTTTGGCTATAATAAGTTGAATACAGTAGATGACCCATCATTTTAAAACTTATAGTGTGGCGAATAAGAATATATTATATTAACGCCCGTATTCTTAGAACAAACTTTAGTCGAACTTCCAACTAGAACTTTATTTAGTGCTAGTTGCAACTTGAACTTCAATTTGTATTCACAAACAACGTAGTCGAAGTTTTAACTACGACTAAATCAAGTCCTAGTTTTAGTTCAACTGAAGACGACCGGCAAGCCACAACTATCAAACTAACCAATGAAAAGGGCTTACTTTAATAGCAGACAAAATTTTAAAGATCCGGTAATGCGGAAGAATATTGAGCTGCCGTCTGTGGTTCAAAAACGCATTTCCTCATAATTCATAATAGACCATCATTTGCTTAATTAATTTTCTATAATAGTAACTATATTAGATGTTAACATATTACGATAGAGAATTTAAACAGTCACTGAAAATTTGCTTTCTTTGGAGAACTAGCAGGGGTGGTGCCAGGATTTGTCCGACAATTAAAAGGTTTCAAAAGTGGTCCAGGGGGCGAAGCCCTCGAAAATTTCAACAATTTAGGGGTTTCAAAGGTTTATTTATTCGATTTTAGAGTCTACTAATACAGTATTTATAAAATACATACAATTTTTTTTTTAACCCCGACGAATAGACGAACTATTAGAGAAAATCACCTTGACAGGCTAAGAAATGAACTGTTATACAATGATGAATGCAATGTTTGGGAATCATTCTGCAATAGTAATTCTGAAGATAAACTTATATATGTCCTTGGAGGAAACTAAATTTTTCTCAGTCATAATGTTCTACTTAGCTTTGATAGTTTTTGCAAATCTTATTTTATTAAGCATGGCAAAAATGCACTGAGATGAAAGCCCTTCGAGATCAATCACAAGTTTTTCTTTAATAAGTTGTTCTAACTTTAAGCTTTTCTTGATTATACCAGTGTGTGAATTATATAATTGTATGTATATGGGTATGCATATGTATGTATATATATGTGTATGTGTATGCGTGTATATGTGTGTGTATGTGTGTGTGTGTGTGTATGTATACCCATGTACATATACCGGTAGGCATTTTTTTTATTTTTTTAAACTTGTATTCTTTTAATGATTTGCTATGTTGTGACGTTGAATTAAACTTTTTTTTTTTTTTCTCCTCAATATTTCTCTAATTGGATTGTGTTTACCTAGGTGTGTGTGTGTAAATTTCGGCCTACAGTACTGTACAGAAAAGTAAGTCTGTATTGCTGTATCTGCTTTGTATTTATATACTTTAAGTAGTTTAATATTTAAGTTATGATATGAAGGGGCTTTCAAATTTTGTGCTTGTGCTTTTCGTATTTTTTTTAACGTAACATCTTTTTTGTAATTTTGTTGGTCTTGAATGCACCGTCAATTGACGAGTGCCACTGTAACAAAAGTGTAAGTTCAATAAATTATTATTATCATACAAATAAATATATATATAAATAAATTATCAAATGCGTCAATCATCGTTAACATACAATAAATAACAACTTTTACCTGTATAAACTCAGCAAGCATATCATTTGGATTTTTCTTTGCTTCGATACTGTTGTGTAGGTACTGGATCAATAGGCTTGCTGGCTTGAGGCAATCGTAGAGGGCATTTCTCTTCTGATCTCCAAATGGATCAAATTCCTTTAAATGACAGCTGTACATGAACATTTTTGAGAATCAAAATATTATATTTTAAATATAGTATGAAAATAGAAAATATTTTAAAGAGAGTATAGCAGTATGATAATAATAATAATAATAATAATAATAATAATAATAATAATAATAATAATATGTATAATAAGTCAGACTTAAGGGGAATATCTTTTGTGTTATTTTCCCCTTAACATTGTTTTTTTTAATTGTTCTCTAATTTCTCCATTGTCTAAAGTTCCCTTAAGGTAGGTTTTAGTAACACAATAATAATAATAAAAAACAAACATTGTTATGCAGCAATTTAAAAATAAATGATCAAAGGCACGAAAATATACATAGAGCATGAATTAGAGTATATAAATAGAAACGTAAAAAGACAATGTAGATATGAATATGGAAACAGATTAGACTAGATGGATTGAAATAGATGAGTTCTTAAATTGAGTAAAAATGAATCCAAGGATGGTGAGGTTTTGAGTATATGTGTTCAATTCCTTCTCAGACTTAACTAGTTTCTCCTGTTGTGTTTTTGCTAGAAGGTGGAAATTAAATAAATGTGTACAGCGCCATCTATAGTTACTACTGGACTGTCTTTTGGCAGAATTGTTTGGCCACTGATTGCACCTGCATGCTAATTACCATCATATGCAAATTTGATATTAGAAATAAGAATTGAGAATTTTTAGGACATCTTCACTATCAAGTCTAAAAAAAATGTGGCAATTGCCTGAGATTTACCCATATACAAGTGTGATATGACATCACCATGTGCATGATATCAGGGTGATATGATGTCATCAGAGCTCATACAACACATCACAGAAGTTTGCCACAGAAAACATGGTAGTATAGAGAAAGCAAATTTCTTTTGAAAGATTGTACACTATAAGGCGAAACATTTTTATACCTTGTTACGAAAACTTATTTTTTTTAAAACGTCAGAGGAAGGAGGAAAAAAATTACAATAAAATTGTGTTCTCTTATTTAGTCAATAGTTTTGCCAGAAACATCCAGATGGAGGAGAAAATAAAAATAAATTTTTATTGGTTGATGTAAAGAGTGTAGTAATTGGATGGTTAAATGCTTTAAATCTATATAATCAGGAACAAAAATACATATCTTATTTTTGGAGATTTCAAGGCAGCGGCGGGCGTATTAAAAAAAAACAAAAAAAACTTCTATATTTTTCTGGAATTATCATTTTTTATGGCAGCGGGTGCATTGATTGGTCAAAAATAAAATTTTATTTTTATTCGAAATCATCATTATTGTCGGGCGGCAGGTTTGCTAAAACAAGGTATAAAAAAGTCTCACCTAATGTGTATTAGAGAGAGAGCAGCTTAAAATAATATTTTCTATATGGCAACAAAGTCTTCATGGTTCACCTCGAACTGTGGTTACCACCAGTTGTAACCAACTGTGTTGGGTATATGAAGTAACCGATTTAAAAATTCCTCTATTTAGTTAATTTACATGTTTTTCTTGTTCATCCTCATCTTGAGTACCCTAGTGTTGTCTCCAAATGTTTCTCTTCTACTCATTGTAACCTGTCTTCAAAAGGTCCAGGATCATTTTGTTTATTCTACTTGTCATTGTCCCTTCTTTTTTTTCCTTCCTTCCCTTGATTCTCGTCATTCGTTGTTTGATCTTCAGTTTATGTACAAGTGTATGAAATCCTGTTTTGATTGTGATTTAATGTCTCTGTTCTCTTTTCATGTTAAAGCTGTTGGTTGCTGTACCCGCAACTTTAAATGTAATCTGTTCTGTGTCCTATATATATGTCCTATATATTGTTGAGTCAATGTTACCAAAAATGGCTTTCTTTCACGTATAATCGATTTTGTAATTGTGTGGAAAAAGATAATTCAATTGAACTTTTCTTTAAGATTGTAAAAATTTATGCTCATTTATATTTTAGCTTTTAAGTTCCATTCTGCAAGTGGCGGGTTTCCCACTGTTGAATGAGATTGTAAATAAATAAACAAATAAATTTTATTCTCTCAAATATGAATATAAAGCACAACATTAAAAGTACCAAGTACCAAGACCGAGCACAATATACCAAGTACAAATACAACTTACCTGAGAGCAATGGATTCCATAATTTTGCGGTACATGTAGCACTCTGTATAGAGCCAAGCGGCTTTAAAGAATTTTGGTGCTTCTCCTTCATTACGTTTCGTCTCTTCCTTAAGGACTTGTTTCCAAATGCTAACATCTTTGTTGCCATCCTCTATCTCCAATATGTATTTGTTTGTTTGCATTTCATGCTTGAGTTTTGAAAGACGACTCACAATGTCTACACAGTCGTTACCTCCTTCCTGAAATTATATTTTTAAGAATTATTTTCATTTTTCATTTACAATTTTGAGGTTAAAAGGTGGAGCTTTGACAGGATTTCAATCTAGGTTCCTGGGAATGGAAGGTAAGCATCTTATCCACCAAGCTCCAGGCCCACCCTACCAACATTGCAGAATCCACAGGACCATGGAATTTGGAGGCAAGCATCTTTTCCACCAAGCTACAGTTTATTGCTGGACCATGGAATAGTTAGCCACCAAGCTACTAGCAGAAATCAGGAGGGAGAAGGAGGGGGATGGAGGGAGATTGAGTATTATATACTTGTTTACAAGTTTTCATTTTGTTTTCTTTAGCTTATATGTCCACATTGCCCTAAAATGTAGTGTGTGTTTGTTTACATTAACCTTTACCTGTCCATGTTGTTCTGATGCAACAATGCGATGTTTATAGACTGTATCTACAACTCTCGTTAGAATGACTGGTAATCGATCCTTAATTGTTAAGTAGGCAAAACTTCTGAAAAACCAAAATTTGTTAAAACAATTTTTGAGAAAAAAAAATGGCTGCTCATTTCATAGATGCTTAGAACCATAGAACCATGAAAATAAGTATTCAATATTAATCAAATATATGTTATTAGATTTTTTAAACATATATGTTGAAGCTTGCGTTACACCACATAGATAGTTCTGAATGAACTTTTAGTTCTGAAAAGAACTGTTGTACTACAACAGTAGTGCAACATGCATACATTTTTTAAACATTTACAACATTATGATCCTTTTGGTTTGGAACACCTCTCAGAACCTTTGTCGGGGAATTTTATGAAGGCATCATTGCTTCGGCCTCAATCATCAGGGTGGGACTGAGGCGCTGTTAACCCCCATCTCAATCTCAAATATCCCTATCAATCATCAGCATCAACTCCAGTCTCATATCTACTAATCTAGCCCAGTGGCACCTGGGGTCCCCCCCCCCAGCTAGAGCTTGTTGGGCAGTCGGGTCAAAAAAAAAATATATGCCTAATGAGATCAGTGTTGATCCTGGTCATTGGGTCCACATGCTAAGTGTTGCTGCTGGTAATCAGCACAGGAACAGGCAACCCCACCAGGTACCCATTTATACTCCTGGGTGGAGAGAAGCAATGCAGATAAAGTGTCTTGCTCAAGGACACAAGCAAAATGCACAGCGCGGGATTGAAACCCGACCTCGAGGTTGGGAAACCAAACCGTTCCTGCTGCGCCAAACCGCTTCTACAACACTGTTTATATTCACCAATAAAATTCTATTTTTATTTTCTCCTGCATCTGGACGTTTTTGGCAAAACTCTTTGCTAAATAAAAAAAACCAAAATTTTATTTTTTGTTTTATTTCCGCCTCCTCTGATGATTTAAAAAAAAATAAGTTCGCGAAACGAGGTATAAAAAAGGTCACGCCTAAAATACAATATACATGTCAGGCATGCAATCCCAAGACCAGTCTTAATACATTTACTCATAACTTTGGCAATAATAAGTTGAGTACAGTAGATGACCCATCATTCTTAAACTTATAGTGTGGCGAATAAGAATATATTATATTAACGCACGTATTCTTAGAACAAACTTTAGTCGAACTTCCAACTAGAACTTTATTTAGTTCTAGTTGCAACTTGAACTTCAATTTGTATTCACAAACAACGTAGTTGAAGTTTTAACTACGACTAAATCAAGTCCTAGTTTTAGTTCAACTGAAGACGACCGGCAAGCCACAACTATTAAACTAACCAATGAAAAGGGCTTACTTTAATAGCAGAGGAAATTTTAAAGATCCGGTAACGCGGAAGAATATTGAGCTGCCGTCTGTGGTTCAAAAACGTATTTCCTCATAATTCATAATAGACCATCATTTGCTTAATTAATTTTCTATGATAGTAACTATGTTAGATGTTAACATATTACGATAGAGAATTTAAACAGTCACTGAAAATTTGCTTTCTTTGGAGAACTATCAGGGGTGGTGCCAGGATTTGCCTGACGATTAAAAGGTTTCGAAAGTGGTCCAGGGGGCGAAGCCCTCGAAAATTTCAACAATTTAGGGGTTTCAAAGGTTTATTTATTCAATTTTAGAGTCTACTAATATTTATAAAATACATACAATTTTTTTTTGCCCCGACGAATAGACGAACTATTATAGAAAATCACCTTGACAGGCTAAGAAATGAACTGTTATACAATGATGAATACAATGTTTGGAAATCATTCTGCAATAGTAATTCTGAAAATAAACTTATATATCCTTGGAGGAAACTCAATTTTTCTCAGTCATAATGTTCTACTTAGCTTTGATAGTTTTTGCAAATCTTATTTTATTAAAGCATGGCAAAAATGAGATGAAAGCCCTTCAAGAGCAATCATAAGTTTTTCTTTAATAAGTTGTTCTAACTTTAAGCTTTTCTTGATTATACCAGTGTGTGAGTTATATAATTGTATGTATATGGGTATGCATATGTATGTGTATGTATGTATATATATGTGTATGTGTATGCGTGTATATGTGTGTGTATGTATGTGTGTGTGTATGTATACCCATGTACATATACCGGTAGGCATTTTTTTTTTTTAAACTTGTATTCTTTTAATGATTTTCTATGTTGTGACGTTGAATTAAACTTTTTTTTTTTTTTTTTTTTCTCCTCAATATTTCTCTAATTGGATTGTGTTTACCTAGGTGTGTGTGTGTAAGTTTAGGCCTACAGTACTGTACAGAAAAGTAAGTCTGTATTGCTGTATCTGCTTTGTATTTATATACTTTAAGTAGTTTAATTTAAGTTTAATTGTTAAGTTATGATATGAAGGGGCTTTCAAATTTTGTGCTTGTGCTTTTCGTATTTTTTTTAACGTAACATCTTTTTTGTAATTTTGTTGGTCTTGAATGCACCGTCAAGTGACGAGTGCCACTGTAACAAAAGTGTAAGTTCAATAAATTATTATTATTATACAAATAAATATATATATAAATAAATTATCAAATGCATCAATCATCGTTATCATACATTAAATAACAACTTTTACCTGTATAAACTCAGAAAGCATATCATTTGGATTTTTCTTTGCTTCAATACTATCGTGTAGGTACTGGATCAATAGGCTTGCTGGCTTGAGGCAATCGTAGAGGGCATTTCTCTTCTGCTCTCCAAATGGATCAAATTCCTTTAAATGACAGCTGTACATGAACATTTTTGAGAATCAAAATATTATATTTTAAATATAGTGTGAAAATAGAAAATATTTTAAAGACAGTATAGCAGTATGATAATAATAATAATAATAATAATAATAATAATAATAATAATAATAATAATAATATGCATAATAAGTCGGACTTAAGGGGAATATCTTTTGTGTTATTTTCCCCTTAACATTGTTTTTTTTAAATTTTTCTCTAATTTCTCCATTGTCTAAAGTTCCCTTAAGGTAGGTTTTGGTAACATAATAATAATAATAAAAAACAAACATTGTTATGCAGCAATTTAAAAATAAATGATCAAAGGCACGAAAATATACATAGAGCATGAATTAGAGTATATAAATAAAAACGTAAAAAGACAATGTAGATATGAATATGGAAACAGAGTAGACTAGATGGATTGAAATAGATGAGTTCTTAAATTGAGTAAAAATGAATCCAAGGATGGTGAGGTTTTGAGTATATGTGTTCAATTCCTTCTCAGACTTAACTAGTTTCTCCTGTTGTGTTTTTGCTGAATGAGATTGTAAATAAATAAACAAATAAATTTTATTCTCTCAAATATGAATATAAAGCACAACATTAAAAGTACCAAGTACCAAGACCGAGCACAATATACCAAGTACAAATACAACTTACCTGAGAGCAATGGATTCCATAATTTTGCGGTACATGTAGCACTCTGTATAGAGCCAAGCGGCTTTAAAGAATTTTGGTGCTTCTCCTTCATTACGTTCCGTCTCTTCCTTAAGGACTTGTTTCCATATGCTAACATCTTTGTTGCCATCCTCTATCTCTAATATGTATTTGTTTGTTTGCATTTCATGCTTGAGTTTTGAAAGACGACTCACAATGTCTACACAGTCGTTACCTCCTTCCTGAAATTATATTTTTAAGAATTATTTTCATTTTTCATTTACAATTTTGAGGTTAAAAGGTGGAGCTTTGACAGGATTTCAATCTAGGTTCCTGGGAATGGAAGGTAAGCATCTTATCCACCAAGCTCCAGGCCCACCCTACCAACATTGCAGAATCCACAGGACCATGGAATTTGGAGGCAAGCATCTTTTCCACCAAGCTACAGTTTATTGCTGGACCATGGAATAGTTAGCCACCAAGCTACTAGCAGAAATCAGGAGGGAGAAGGAGGGGGATGGAGGGAGATTGAGTATTATATACTTGTTTACAAGTTTTCATTTTGTTTTCTTTAGCTTATATGTCCACATTGCCCTAAAATGTAGTGTGTGTTTGTTTACATTAACCTTTACCTGTCCATGTTGTTCTGATGCAACAATGCGATGTTTATAGACTGTATCTACAACTCTCGTTAGAATGACTGGTAATCGATCCTTAATTGTTAAGTAGGCAAAACTTCTGAAAAACCAAAATTTGTTAAAACAATTTTTGAGAAAAAAAAATGGCTGCTCATTTCATAGATGCTTAGAACCATGAAAATAAGTATTCAATATTAATCAAATATATGTTATTAGATTTTTTAAACATATATGTTGAAGCTTGCGTTACACCACATAGATAGTTCTGAATGAACTTTTAGTTCTGAAAAGAACTGTTGTACTACAACAGTAGTGCAACATGCATACATTTTTTAAACATTTACAACATTATGATCCTTTTGGTTTGGAACACCTCTCAGAACCTTTGTCGGGGAATTTTATGAAGGCATCATTGCTTCGGCCTCAATCATCAGGGTGGGACTGAGGCGCTGTTAACCCCCATCTCAATCTCAAATATCCCTATCAATCATCAGCATCAACTCCAGTCTCATATCTACTAATCTAGCCCAGTGGCACCTGGGGTCCCCCCCCCCAGCTAGAGCTTGTTGGGCAGTCGGGTCAAAAAAAAAATATATGCCTAATGAGATCAGTGTTGATTGAGTTGAGAGTATAGTAACAATTTTGTCTGAGAGTGCTATTTCCGGCCATTCAGAGGTCCCTATTTAAAAAAAAATTTCATTAAGGTCAAGGACCAAGTCCCCCAAGAAAATATATCCTGCAGCCGCTACTGCTCTAGCCTAACCAACAAAGTCTTTGTACATCATCAAAGTCTCATTTGTCAACAATATGTACCAGCATATCTAACTATTCCAGGCCCACGTGTATTGGTGGCTCTCCAGCACTGCATCAACACACCAACACATGAGTGCGACCAGAGTAGTAGTAGGCCCTAGGCCTAGTAGTACTAGGCCTAGACAGTGCAGAACAGACTGTTTTTTTAGTAGTACCAGGCCTAGCCTACTCTACACTAGCTAGCTAGGCCTACAGTCCTGTCGAAATATGACGATAAGACTTGGCTAATAATTGATAATATGTGATTGCATTGATATTCATTATGACGCAATATGATAAACAGTAACATTTATTACCCTACGTATTGTCCGGAAAGACTTCGGGGTAGGGTTGATTTGCAGGTACCCGTTTCTTCCTCCCACGATTGCTGCATGTTTGTTGATGTCCAATTTGTATCACGCCGCGCCCCTGGATGATTACGAAATCATACTGGTTCCCGGACGCATGGCTCAAATTTCAGTTCATCTACTTAACTCACTCTCTACTTGATTAATGTACAATAATCCTTCTTTAATTAGCATACATACCTATAGTTGCATATACCACGGTATTTAAGGAATACATCAAAATTTTCAAAATTGCAAATTATAAATAAATAATACAGGCCGCTCCTGAAATTAATTATACCTCAAACAAAAGTAGTATTTTCGCTTATTTCAGGTCGTGTGAAAGTGGCCTTTTTGTTGTGCTGCTGTGTTCGCGCGCGTCACACGTGCGCGAAAGAGACTTGCTTTGATGAGACTATAAGTGCATGCATCGTTTATTAAAATCTTTTACGAGGAAAAAAGCTGCTATAACATTAATAATTCATATAGGATAAAGAATTGGAATACCATAACGTTTATAAATACTCGATTGGTTATGTTTTTTGCATAAAAAGCAGTAGTGTAGGCCTTACTAACGTTGTAGGCCTATCCCTCTGAAAGATGTAACTGTCTGCTGCTACCAAAAAATCTGAGATCGAAAATATACTTTTGATTCACTGACTTTATACTTTAAAAAGTCCTTGAATTGTTGATTTCCAGCCAATTTTAGGGTATGAAATCATTGTACAGCTAATCTTACTGTCCGTTAATTGACGATGATTTTTTTCTCATTCAAATGCTTAATTGTAAGTTAATATGTATACTTAAATATACAAATTATAATATACAATTCATAAATAGTATGTTTCTGTCATCGTCCTGCTGCTATGTTTCTTCATTGATATATAGGCCTAATTATAGTATAATCAGGGAGTTGTTAAAAACTCCCTGGTATAATTAACCATTACTTTCTCCTGCGTAATTACTTCTCCGGCAAGTTCATTAGCCTTATAGCTTTCTCTCTCTCCCTTGTGAATTTGGTGTATTGTTTCATGTTTTGTTGTATTCATTTAACTTATTTCGCCTTTAATATTATGCAGTACATATAAAATTAAAAAATAAAGATCCCTTTATAGACAAAAGAAAGTCTGTGTTTCTCCACAAGTTAGCGCGAGATCCAAGAAGTGAGATAAAAATCACTGTCAAACTGGTTTCCAGAAAACACACAATAACGGCACAAAAGTAACTTAGTAATTAGTAAATGATAAAATTAATTTTTCTTTTTCTTTTCTTTTGTTGATTCTGAGCCATCGGACTCAACCCGAGCAGATCCGAGGTCACATGGAAAGTAGCCAGCGCAAGCAGCCAGCTCTCATTCACGAGGTCACAGGTCAAAGTGGGAAGTGGAGTGGAGCGAGCGTGAGAGGCGTGGGCAGCTTGCTGTAGGTCGCTGGCTGCAGACATAAAACAACGTCTTGTCTTGGGCCTGTCATTTCTGAGAGACTTTCTGTAGAGCACATTGGTAGGAAAGTAATTGTGAAGATGGCAAGTAACTCATGTCTTGTTATGAGACTCGTGTCTGCTTCAGTGTCGGTTGCAAAACGAGCAGGGACCATTGTACGAGACATTAGAAGCAAAGGTAGCTTAGGTGTCGTTGAAAAGGTAAGACTGCATTTGAGATACGCCTGCTGCCGAGACGAGCGTGGAGCTCTGGGGCTACTTCATTGGCCTAGGGCCTAGGCCTAGCCAAACTCTATCCAATCTGTTTGCGTTGTATATATCACCAGTTCGTAACTGATATACTATACAAATACAGCCTGCATGTATGCTTTTGAATTGTTTTTCCTAAACATTTTTTATGTTTAAAATCGGAATATATTTCATTTTGCACACAAAAAAGCCCCAATTTTAATTTGTGTACATAGCCTGGCCTAAGGCCTTGTATCAACAATACATAATTCAATAAGCTTTTGTTAGGTTGAAACTAATTTGTTTTCCTACTGAATTGCATGTTTGTATTCTTTAGTTTAGTTTAGTCATATAATAACTGAAAACATGGATTTGAGACAAAATAATATTAAACAATAATATACCCAGTTTTTGTTGGTCAGGTTTCTGTTTGAGTATCTATTAACTTTAATTAATTTAGTTTTGTTTCCTTATTATTTATTGAAATCATGCACTTTTGCAACTACTGTAAACATATGTTTCATTTCAATTAATATTTTAATGAAACAGTGTTTGCCATGTTCCTATCTGTAAGTGCAGGTATATGTAGTAGTAGATTTCTATCTAGCAAACTGTCTTTATTTATTAAACATCTACTAATTTGGTCAATATACGTTAAAGTATTGTACTGTAGACTGTCTAACAGTAGTCACCCCTGCAACATCAGATTTCTATACAATATTCTAAGCTTAAAATCCCCAATATCAACTGTTTATAAAGCTAAAAACGTATCAATATAGTTTTTGCATATTGGAGGATGTGTATAGTGTAGTTATATGTACACAAGTTATATTTATTCATATATTTAATTGGTATAAGTTACTTAGAAATAAGAGAACAAAAGTTTTAAATTTTTTGTGAGGAACCTAGTATTCTAAATAATGTTGATCAAATGATCAGGGATAATATGTAATCATTCAATATTGAATCTCTGTATTAGGAATGTATTCATTGTTATTGAGGATATTATTATTATTATTAACAATTGGTTTTGGTGCAGTAATATTATAGGCATATGTATAATTTTATAGAGAGTTAACTACACCATAATCATAGCTGGCTAAGCATCTATAGACCATTTTCAATACTCAATACAACTTTATTGCAGTCATATACTAACAATAGATTAAGGTTTAACAATAATTATTACCATCCTTGAAAAACTCCATGCATTGATATAAAACATTTTAGCAATCAGTGTGTGCTCGCTTACAAAACCTTCGTAACCAATACATATAGTATTTGTATGTGATTAACTTTATTCAGTAGTTCTTCAATAAATACAAGAATTTGTTGAATTAAATAAATAAGATTGGGTAATTGTGTACTTACTGTAAGCTTTAATGAACTAATAATTTAATCATTATTTTACTTGACTTAGTTGTATATATTTATTTGTTGGGTTTATATATTTTTATTTTGGTAAGCAGAGGTAAATCAAATTAAATGTTCAGCTGTTTCGAAATTTCAAACGTTAATTGTATTAATTTATTTAACTCCTCCTTTAATAACTGATACAGCTAATTTATAAAAGCTATTTTCCAACAGGTCAATCATTTTACATTGTAGGATGTAATATACTGTGAATTGGTTTTCGTTGACCAAGTTAAATTTATTGGATTTGTCTCAAATTTTCTTTGTTTCTCTTTGTAGTTCTTTTATGAAACATAGTGAATTTAGGAAGCCATTTTATGGGATAAATTTAAACCAGCACTTGTATTTTTCTTTACAATATGACTGGCATTGTACAGTAATTAAATGTTATCTATGGGCACCTACACTGCCAGCATCTTGTTAAAGTTCACAAACCTGTATCCATTCATTCATTTAGAATTACAGGCTAGTCCATTTAAGGATGTACTGTCTGTTATGAGCTAAACAAAATTCAATTCCATTGCTGCATTTGTATTTAAGTACAATTTAAAATTGCAATTAAAAATGTTAATGAGAAAACAAACTTTCTGTCGAGATGTAAACACATTATTATTTCATCAATGTCATGTTTTGCCCTTTATTCCATTTGGTAGAATAACCAAAGAGTTGTCCAATTTGGACTACATTTCAGTTAAACTGTAAAATCCATCTTTTTCCTCATTTATAGTCTTCCTTCCAATCATTATCAAAAGTCTTCTTGTCCTTTTTTGTCATTATTTTAATGTTTCTACATTATTTCTTCTGGTTGATTGTAATTCTGTTTGGTTCTGCATCCTTTATTTTTATTTCATTTCATTACCTATTAGGTCTTTTAAACAACATAATGTACATAACACAATGTTACAAAAATAAATTTTGGGGAGACAATGGTCAAACAAAGTGAAGCAAATCAATGTAGCTAAGCCGGTTGTCCCAACCCCAAATTTCAGCAACACACGCAACATTACACAAGATAAAAAATGGGGGGAAAACAACAATATTATTGAATGTAATAACTTTGTTGTCTTCTAACAAAGGGATGAAGTCTCATCCATTCTTGATTCTTTATTTTGTGTGATTGTATTGTTAAATAAAGTAATCTGTTCTGTATCTCTTTTATCTTAAAATTAAATTTCAGTAAAGGAATAATATGGACAATGCTACCAGTATATTTGATAATTATTGTAAAATCAAAGGGCATAATTTCTGTTCTCTACTATCTGCTAATTAACTCATTTTAAACCTTTCTCTTAATTAGCTGATGTATTGTATTGTGCTTACGGTGCTAATATTTAAATTATCATTCATTATTATTGTGATTATTCCAGCTGGTAGATTTAACAGAATATTATACAGTAGTACCAGTATTTGTTGTTTGATTTTACCCTAATTGTTTGTGTTTAGGGTCTTAACCTATGAATGAGGTGAAAAAATAGGATCGTACTGTAAGCCTACTGTAGGTTTGTGTGTTCCTACCATTTTATTCAATTAGGGGTATTACTGTTTTAGTAGGACTGATAGCAACACAAAAGAAATACTGTAGTTTGAAAATTATATTGCCAATATAAGGCACTGTACAGTGTGCTTCAGACACCTACCCATTGGAACGGGGTAGAGGATTGAAAGTTTGAGATTTTTTTTAGAAATATAAATTAGGAAGAGAGAATAAGAAATTCAGAAATGCCCAAAGAAGAATAAACACTGTATACATGCTTATGAAATATAGAGAAAAAAGAGATAGATTGATCATTTATTGAGAAGAAAAGAATTATTGAAGAGACAATAGAAGGATGAAGAAATGTGATAAAGATGGAAATTATTGAGTTTAATTAAGTAAAGATAGCAGAGAAATTCACACTTTTAGATTTCATGACATTTTAAAATTAGGTTGTTTTTTTTTAATTCTAGGACTCACCAAATTCATCATTAATTCATAATATAATATTTATGATAATAAGTTATTATTTATGTTAAACTGATCGTAATTACTTTGGATCATATTTGTTTAATAAATTTGTTTGTAGACTTGTGATTTGATGTATGCTTTTTCCAGAATTTATTTAGGAAAAGAATCTAAAAAACAGAATAAGATTTCAGGAACTGAGAATTGTGAAGTGCGACGTAGCTTATGATTATCACTCGCCCACCTACGCACACGGTTTTCTGTTTCTTGAATTCTCTCATATTAATTTTTTGGCTGTTCTAACTAACATGTGCGTTCACAGTCTATAGTTTATATTATTTATGAATTTTTGTTTAAAGTATTACGGTACTGTACACCAGGAATATCTGAAATATTCAACAATTCAAAATGGCCTCTCCTTATTATGGTTACGACATCACCGATGAATACTCGTTTCGTGAAAATTTTCTTGTCGCTGTGTGAATCAAATTATTATCACACCGACCTATTTTGAAGGGAGTGTCACCAGAAAAGACAAAAATAAAATTATGACCAAAACAGAAGAGTTTATTTTTAGTGTCTGATATATATTTTTGGTAATTAACCGTAAGCCCGATGAAGTATATTGCCGAAAATGTACGGCTTTCCGTCCAAAAATAAATATTTTGCAAGCCTACAAGGCATTGAAGAGCTGTTCAGTCTTGATGTCACTTTAGATACTATCTAGCTTGTTACCTTCTGATTGACGTCATCATGCAACCTTGTAGTTGCCATAGCAACAGAGCTTGACTATGATGTCAGAGACTCCCAGGTCAGCTGCTCACACAGATTCTCTCTAGATCGGATGAAAATGCTCGGATACAGTGCGCAGATGGATATGTTGTGAAATATTCAGATTAATTTTCCAAACAATATTTACTGAATTTTAATATTGATCAGTGAAATATTTACAGGTATTCAGAAGTCCACAAATATAATGTATCTAAAAATAGAAATGATGTCATTCTGTATTCAGTTTGATAAGAGCTTTTATTTGTATTAGTAGGATTGCATCATATCTCACATAATGGTGAACTCATTAAGGTAAGCGGCAGTTGCAATCAAAAGTGAGGAAATATATCATTCATACACACCTTATATAATACTGATAGTTTATATACAACAGCATATAGGCCTATAGTATACTGTAGTTATGTAGTAACAGTAATTACACTTTATTTAAGAATAGTAACAAGAACTATGATAAATAGCAAATTTATTTAATATTAGTAACATTTTATGTAGTATTGCTTACCCTATAGCATATGAATAATATATAGGAATAGCCTTGTTATAATTAATAGCAATTTATATAATTATCTAAATTATTTGCTGTTATACAGTTAATTAACAACAATATAACATATTAATGCTTCATAAACAGTAGTATAGGAAACACTATATAAATACTTCATTTAATTGTAGCTCACTTGATTATACATTAGATATTGACTAATTTCATATTTTATATACGTTTAAAACATTTACAAGTAGTATAGACAACAATTTAGTACAAGCAGATATAAATGCAATTAAGTTAATACTTTACAAATATTGTAGATATTGATTTATTAGTATTTCTTGTATAGTTACATTTACAAGTAGTACAGTAGTTAACAATTTATACAATACTACCATACAGTCAGATATAGATAATTTTATATAATACTCACTTTACACATCATTATAATACTTTTGATGTTTATTTATCTTTTTCTATACCGTTGAAACATTTACAAAATAGTAATTCGTACTAACTGATAGTCTTATAATTCTATTTATAGCTCATATCTACATATTCTTCGTAAACAGTAGTCTAGGAAACACTTTATTCTGAACAATTCTGTAATCAGCTATCAATACATTATTTAATTTTAGCTCACTTATTTATACTTTAGATGTTTACTAATTTTATACTTTTAATACATTTAAAACACTACAAGTGTAGTGTAGGCAACAATTTAAGTAATGCTACTTTAAGCAGATATAAATATATTATATAATAGTAATACTTTATAAAATATTGATATTGATTTACTATATTTCCTGTGTATTAGTTACATCTACAATAGTACAGTATAACAATTTAATACTACTATTGCTACATAGTCAGATATGCAAATACTTTTATATAAACTGTCACTTTATATAATACTTTAGATGTTGATTTATTTTATTTTCTATAAATTTGAAACATTTACAAAAAATAATTTGTACTACCTGATAGAAATACTTAATATAATTATATTTGTAGCTCACTTTATACTTTATGTATAATATAGTACTTTTGATAATTACAATGGCTCATAATAACTGGATCAATATTTTACAGTTAAGAAAGTATGTATTTGGTAATAGTTCGTGTAATACTGTAACCTGCTTTACTATAAATTACCTAATTGTAATACTTTATATAATAAAGTTAGCTACTAATTGATTTATATAATATTCTCATTTTATTTGATCTATTATTAATAATTAAAAATAATACTACAAAATGATAATTATATAATTATTGCACTTTATATAATAACTGTAGATAAAGTTAATTTATATAATTTATTCAAATCTTTTGTAAATAGTATATTTATATGTAACAATTTATAGAATATTTGAACCTGAATTTATCAATACTTACTGTATACCATAGTAATACTATGCTTTAACATTTCAGATATTATTTGAAAATCTTCTATTTGAACTTTTCATAGTATTACAGTAGGAATCAATTTTTACCAATATAAATACTTTATATAATATAGTAGCTTAGTCTTTATACATTATATAATTTTAGGTATATTTTTAATTAGTGTATATAATATGGACCAGATATTTTGGCAAGATTGTAGTATTTGAGAGTAAGAAAATTCTACAAAACAAATCTTCAGAAATTTGGGCATTGAACCATAAATAACAATGGCACATTTTGACCTGCTGCAGTACTCAAACAATTGCATTCCATATGGTTATAATTTACATTTGAAGTCTGACAACCAACTTCCTTATAATTGGTACCAAATACCCTGTATTTCCTATTGGAAATTGGTTAATACATTTATTTATTATTATTATTTGTTTTAAAGAATTTATAAGTCTGATAAAATGATTTCAAATAATATACTGTATCAATATTTTATCTTTTTTATTAAATAGTAAATTTCAACTTTTACTGATGTAAAGTTTTCCCCTTGTTCACATTTATAAAAATAGTTATTTTTCCATCAATATTTTAACCGGGTTAAGTAACTTTTGTGTCCACTTGTAGTAAAGCTGATCATACTTTGTAGTCCATGTTTTGTTCTTGTTTTACTGTACATGTTTTTCCATATGTTTTTGTTGCTACTGTATGTGTCTTTGGTCATCCATGTTGTTTCCTTGTAGTGTACCTTTTGTTCACCTATTCTGTTTAACTTCGTTATCCATGTTGTGTTAATGTTGTTGTTTGTCTTTGGTCATATATTTTGTGTCCTTGTTCAAGATTCAAGATGTGTTTATTGGTCAAACACAAACACCTGTTCTTCTATTGCATGTCTTTAATGGAACCCTGTTACTATGTGTCTGGTATTTCATGCTGTTTCCTTGTTGTGTTTTTTTTTTGTTCGCCTCTTCTGTGTCCTTGTTGGTACATATCTTCATTATCTATGTTGTGTTCTTATTTCTGTGAGTCTTTGTTCATGTTGTTTCCATGTTGTTGCTTGTCTTATGTTCACCTAAGTTGTGTCCTTGTTGGTAATCTTCATTATCCATGTTGTGTTCTTATTTCTTTGAGTCTGTGTTCATGTTGTTTCCTTGTTGCTTGTCTTATGTTCATCTAAGTTGTGTCCTTGTTGTTGGTAATCTTCATTATCCATGTGTTCTTATTTCTGTGGTAGTCTGTGTTCATGTTGTTTTCTCGTCGTTGCTTGTCTTATGTTCATCTAAGTTGAGTCCTTATTGTTAGTAATCTTCACTATTGATATTGTGTTCTTATTTCGGTGAGTCTGTGTTCATGTTGTTTCCATGTTGTTGCTTGTCTTATATCCATCGTCCTGGTTGGTACATGACTTAAATCTTCATGTCGTGACCTTACTGTTGAATGTCTAGTCATCTATTTTGTGTCCTATTTCTCATGAACTTTTGATATTCGCTGTTTTAAAGTATCAGATTTCTTACCATTTGGCCATTTATAGTTTTTGATGCATGTAATATGCTAATGTACTACTGTATACTGTACTGCACCAAAGAAGGAGTTTTACTATGTTGAGGAAATTTTGTGGAGGTATATATTGCTGCTTTTCAATAGGAATGTAGGCATTTTTTTAGTAGCATCATACATAGTTCTTATACAGCTATTTAGAATACTTCCTACAGTACTAAAACAAATCTTCTACTGTACTTAGGAAGGAGAATTCTTTCATCTCATACTAATTAGAACTTGGGATATTTTAACTAGAATATATAAATAAATTACAAATGTGTAAGATTATTTCAGAATGTAGATATATTATTGATTTTTATTAATTTTTTTTTTCCAGACTGGTAAGAATGACTTACAAACAGAGGCAGACCGTAAGGCTCAACGCTGCATCGTAGCATCTTTAACAAGAAGATTTGCGGGCATTATAGTTATAGGAGAAGAGGTGAGTCAGCTTAGCCTGTCTCTGTAAACTTCATTAGGCCAAACACACTATTACATCTAATATCCAAGTTCCTCGGTTCAATCATGGCAGAGAATTTAGGATGTTCAATATCCCAATTTCGCTTCTGGAAACTTGGAATTGACAGTTCCAAATTATTAGCTTACCTGGATTGATCATAGTTGATAAATACAATAGAATCAAACAATTCTTGGAGGCTGATGAGTCTACCTTGTGAATAATTAACTGGATAAACCGACTAATGAACTTATTCAGGTGTTGCAATATGTGTTGCAATATACAGGTATAATATAGAGGTCTCCCTTTAATTAAAAGACTCCTCTAAAGATCACCTCTAATTAAAGACTACTTTGCAGTAGCCCCAAATGGATGTTATCTTTTATTGTTATAAACAATATGTTCTAATTAAAGACCAAAGGTGTTGACCATAAAACTCCAGTCCCAAAAGTGGAGGGAGACCTATATTCCCCAAAATGCTTTTTCTCTTGATAAGGCAAACAAAATTCATGTGCTACCCATGTCTACCAGTGAATGTTTAAAGAAATAAAAATAAATCCTGCTTTTGATTGAATATAAACTTTATATGCATGCATTCATTATAGTTACATTAAATACAGACTGACCTACAGCTTACATAGACTTAACATTAAAAATAACTTATATTATATAAAAAAGAGACCATGATTTTCAATATTTTTGCAGGTACTATTGTATACAAAACTTTATTCACATACTGTACTGTATAAGTACTTGTAATGCACGCATACAATTTAGTATGTGTACTTAACTGCACACACCTGCACATACAAGACTTAAGTGCATATGTATACATACTTAAGTGTATACTAAAATTTTTGAGTGCATATGTGTATTGTTGGTGTTCAGAAAATTCATGTAATTTAGTTGTAGGAGGAGGATCATTATGTGTGTTTTTATGTGCGATTTTATAACATAAAATTTCTAATAAAAAAAAGTCTTAAATGTATATACTGTAAAGAGTCAAGTTACTTATTCATCATAATACATAATTTTATTTTAAATTTATTTTCAAAATAATCTTGCTATTGAATTGATTATTAAAAAATATTTGAATTCAAATCATGGACAAAATGTCTCAATAAACAAAACTATTAAAAGACAACATTAGTACAATAATACTGATACAGTTATTAATAGTATTAGACACGCAGATCAAAACATTTCAGGTTTCACTGATTTACAGATATTACTACGAAAATCCTTAAATGGATTACCACTTAAACAGCCAATTAATATGTTCTAGGCAACATATAAACAGTAGAAATTCTTTTTATGTGTCTGTTGTTACTGAAGAAAACAAAGTTTTCAGTTTAAAGTTGGTAAACAGACGTAAACAAGTTACTGTACTTAAATAAAAGTATTTAATTTTTATTAGGGTTCAAGTTTTTTACGGTAGCACTGCATAGACAGTATACAGTATAATATATTATTAAGTAAAATAATTACTGTAATGGGAAAATAAACAACATTATTGGATGAAAATGTCATGTTTCTATTGCTCATATAGTAGCACACAGAAGCTATCTTGTCTATCTTCGCATACTCATACAATACTTACTAAACTTATCGAAAAAACTTAAGTTCCTGTGATTTAGCTAATACAGTAATTAACTCCTATATTTAGCTTACAGCTATTAATCTAGTAGTCAATGTTAAATTTTATATTTTTATGTAATCAGGTCTTCATTTAACCATGGAGGTATTATTAAGAAGGAGCTCACTCGAAAAACCTACGCAAGCGCAGCGCTATGCAAATGAACCAAGATCAAAGCTGCCGCAGCACGTGAAGAACGTTTGCACGATGCCTTTGAAGTCTGATGTGTTCCCCGCCATAAAATTTTCAGCAGGCATAGTTTAGCAAAAAGTTGAACATGGCTGCGCAATCGTTTCCATTTTGAAGCTGATACATTTATCTCTCATAAAATATCAAACATATTAATATTTTCCACCAAAAAAAGTTTAGAATTTAATGGAACATTTACATGACCTTTAAAAGTATATTATATTTCAACTTCAATTTTCATAAAATGGCCAAAATTCGCTAATTCTAAATTTTAACAGATCTTAATTAATAAATGATTGAGGATTATAATAAACTAAGTCATTTTAGGGTTAACTATTCGAAAAATCAATCCAAAATCTGAGTATTTTTCAGTTTTACGCTGACTTAGCTTTATAGTCGAACCAATCAATCTTTAGACAGAATTATAATGAACACAGAAGTAATTTTAACGTAAATATTTTACGGAATCCATTCTGAAATATACAAATAATAACATACTAAAAGTCCGAAAAAATCTAATCAGGGGAACATTGTTCATTATAAAGATATTTAATGGGTTAAAATCAAATGCTTTATTGCACAACTGCTCTGCTGGAAGCGTATAAATGCATGTCGTTGCCAAGTTGTTGCTAACGAAAAAATGTGAATTATAGGGTAATACGCCTGCGCGCGATCCAAAAGTGGGGAATACATAGGTTTGTCGCGTCAAAGGGATCTGTTGAGGAGTGATCTCCTTCTCAATAATACCTCCATGATTTACAGTAACTGACTGCTTTAAATATTACCATAGGCACTTTTTACTGGATTTCAACATCTAGGATTATAGTGCTCAGAAAAGGTTTTTGATTCGATAAAAATTAGAGTAAATGTTAACATAGGCCTACTGTGAGTATAGGGAAGAGGAGGTGATACATAGCACATACTTGTAAGTTGTCATTTTAGGTACAAATTGGACAGTCCTTGGTTTAATAATGGCAAGTTCGGGCTGTACGAAAATGTGTGCGACCAGTGTTTGGAGGCATTGTGCTCCAGACAACCGCTGTTCGGATACATAGTGTACAGATAACATTTGGTGAGCTGCTGCAGACATTTTATAAAGATAACTATGATTTACATAGTTGACAAGGCCTGGACAAGTTATTTATATTATAACCTCATATACTGTATTTAGATAATGGAGGGTCCAATGTTCAATAGCAAGTTCTACCATAGGGACATGCTCCGAAATTATGGAACTCTCTTCCACCTAAACTTAGATCAACTTCTGATACTAATGCATTCAAGACCCTTCTTAAAACTTATCTCTTTAATCAATAATTCTTATATCTTAAGTACCAGTGACACTGACAAATAATATTTTCTAACAGGTGTGAAATAATACAGATATAGATACAGATCTTTTATTGTCATAAAAATACAAGGTACAATTATGAAATTTTCCTTCCTTATTGCAAATCTACTCCAGTATGAAAATAAATATAAATATATTAAAAGCACATACGGTAACACAAAAACACAATTCTAACTACATGAATTCTACTAACAATATACATTATCTTAGTTTCCTCTTATTAAATTACAAGTGTTAGTAGCATAGTTACAGTAGGCCCTTGTTTCTTTTCTTCTCAATAATATTTAACATTTTTTATACTCGGATATATTTTAAAATATGTGCAGTACACCTTGTAGTGCAATTTTTGTTAAATCATTGGGTCCACTTCTAACCTAAATAAACACATACGCGTTATTGGGTTTGGTAGTTTTAAATAAGAGAGTGTTTGAGTTTGTGTTTCAAGTACTTTGGACACCAGTGAAGAACTTGGTATGGTAAATATAATGTATGCTTAAATGACTAATCACATTATTGTGATGTAAACTATCAACAAATAGATACGATACTTCATAGCTCAAAGTTGAAAAAGGCCACCATAGAAAGCATGAGGGGTGCCTTGTAAATGCTATTAAGAGAATGATGATAAAAATGTATTAAATGCTTGTGCTACACCACATAGATATTTCGGAAAAGAACTGTTGTTTTTGTGGAGAATATCTTGACGTTTCAATCATTAGGAGAACTAATATGTAGTTTATTCATAAATACAAATAAATTTCTATGATAAAAATATACTGTACATGAAATTTAATATCATAAAATTGCATAGCATTACATGAACAGCAATTGTAAATTAAGTATAAAAAGTAATAATAATATGTTACACTATACTGCAAAATGCCACAACCTTGATGTACTGTACTTAACTTTGAAACAAAATAAATTATTCCCTTTCTGCAAGTATGAGAATAGTAGATAGCATAATAATTACGTTATAATTTGCAATTTGCATTAAAAATTTCTGTAATAATTATGTGAATAGTGTCATTATTATGAAATGCATTTGAGTTCAAAGTATTCAGTAACTTTTTCATTTAATGAAAATTAACTATTGAACTTGATAGTCTTAAGCATTACTGTCATCATCGTCTTTATAATTAATATCAACGTCATCATCATTATTACCATCACCACCATTATTATTTCCAACATTACCACCATCATCATTTTATGTAGTAACTCTCTCGGGTTTTAAATAGTGCAAAGTGCCAAGGCCTTTGTTCATTGTACATCCTACATAAACTAGAAGCCACAGTAGTAATAAACGTCTGTGAATGCTGAATTCATTTATTATGGTAATATATTATAAAAAAATGTTGGGAAAAATTTCATTCTGTTACTTATGTGTATTAAAATATATGACATACTTACAATAAAATTTTGTTTTCATGATTTTATATTATAATTTTTTCTGGTATGAGTAGATATAGTTTTATGCATACAGATATTTTATATATTTGTACTAAAAAAGTAAGCTAAACAACTTTCGAGGTGTTATCTGAAAGATTTTTTTATTGCCTAAACCTTCTTAATTTTTTATTTCAAAATGTACATTAAATTTGAAAGTTAGTAATTTATAAGCTGGTTCAGAAAATGATGAAATGGAAATGGGGTGCAAAAAATATTGACAAAAAAAAATTAAAAAAAAAATTTAAAAAAAAAATTTAAAAAAATTTAAAAAATAAAATGATATCAACTTCAGTTTATCAGACAGGTTTCTATTTAATGATTGTCAAATTGTTTACAATTTAAATTACAGAAAATATTTTTGTATTAGCTTAATTCTTTTTGCATCTTTCATGGCTTACTTATTAAATAAGCCATGAAAGATGCAAAAATCATCGGGAATCGTGCAACTAAAGCATGGAACAGCCTTCCAAATGAAATTAAAACAATATTTAATGAACTTTCCATACAGTCTTTTAAAAATCATTTAAACGATATATAATTCAACACTATCTAATTACTCTTTTCCTGACAAAATATTGAATCAAAATTTTACAGATTTTTCTTTTTGCCGTTTCCTTTTCAATTTTGTTGTTAGTTTTAAGCAATTTTGTTTTCGATGCTATAGTTTTATATTTATGTACTTATTGTGTTTTTTTTTTAACTCATTAGTTTTGTTTTAAGTTCAATTTCTTTTTTCATTTTGGTTTTCTTTTATTTTTTTACTGGTGATCCACTTGTGATAACAGTGCTACTGTACGTTATTGAAAGTGTAATCACACAAAAGACAGAAATAAATAAATAAGTAAATAAACATAGTATATGATTTGACAAATTTGTCAATGATTTTCCTTGTCTCTATTATGATTGAACCTACAACTTTGGGATTGGTAGGCAGCTGCCGTAATAACAGTACCCTTAAAGCACGAACATATGTGCAAAATGCAACTTCTCTAAGTTCTCTGTTTCATTGCTTTTTAAAAATTTCTTTAGGAGTTACCTAAGGAAGAAGAAATCGACGAGAATCTCATCGAAAATGGTTACTCAGAAGAAGTTGACGAATCAGAGTGTCCTGAGGCTTTAAAAGATGTCAACATTGAAGACGTGAGTTGCGATTGAATTATCATTTAAGTATCTGTCCCAAGAGCTTACGTCATAGGAGCTAAATTTAGTACATTCTAACAGCCTGTGTAGATTATAAATGAGGCAGTGCAATTTTTAACAGCCAATAATAATGTTTGAGAGAATAGGATGTTTTTAATATGTATGAGAAACAACTACTCCAAAACAGTATTTACTATGGTGTTCTAACTTCATAATAATCTTTAATATATTTTTTTCTTCAAAAAAACAAGATAAGCATAGTCATCTTCATTTGCGATAAATGGAGGGGTTTGTCACAGGAGGGCCCAAGTTTTTATAACCATATCGATTCTGTCAACGAGATATTTAAAGCAAAAGAAAAATTATGAACGGATTGAATTCATCACTGGAATATGGAATAATTTTCCGCAAAATTGAATTTCATCATTATTTATTAATTGTTACTGCAGTACTGTTATTAATTTTTAAATGTTTTGTGTATGTTTTAGTGTGAACTAGGCTAGAGACACAGCTTTTCTTTGTATGTCTTTTCCATTTTTATTTTTTGTGGTTTCTATTGTTATTTTTGTTAAATTGTTGTATACATTGATATACACTGGATTTATGCTGTTTATTGGAAATATAGTTTACAAATTGAATTGAACAGAATGAATTAAAGCTTGTCTAAGTTATGTGAGCTGCCATTGTAAGGAAATGTGATATTGCAGAATTATCGCTTGAAGTGGAGATTCACATTTTACCTGTCAGGGAAAATGAGAGATAGTTATTGAATTGGGCAATTTGGTACACACATTGCAGTAACACTGCCTTTTAACACTGTTATACTGTTTTTTAAACAATCTCTTTTAATGCTGTCTTCTAACACCTCATTTAACACTCTCATTAAAATTTCTTTTTACACTCTCTTTAACTTTATTATTGTCTTTTAACACTATAATTTGTTAACACTGTCTTTTAGCACTTTTTTAAAGGCACAAGGTATTGTTAAATTGAACAATAGCAGTTTGTACAGAAAGACTTACGAGTTTGATCCAAAAACACTGTTGGGGTTTTCCCAAAGACTTTTACCTCTAATTAGACATTAATTTAAAAATACAAAATGATGATTCTTTTAAGTTGATGACGATAATTATCTAGAACATGCTTGGTAACATATTTTTATTATTATATCATTATTGGAATATTATATTTTGTTTAGTATGTAGAACCTAAATTTATTGCAAAGTGAACCATGTTAAAAAGTAGTTGAGAAAAATTCACATAGGTCGAAATCCTAGTAAAAAGCATAAAGTATTAATAAATTGAATAGATAAGATAACTTATTGATCAAAACCAGTAGTGGAATATTCTATCTACTTGCACATATTCAAAAAATTGAAATTCTAAAAAAGCATGAAATAATTAAATTACTGAAGTACAGTATACTGAAGAAAAATTATAAAAACACAGATTAAATTTAAAACAACACTATGTTTGCAATATGAGCTATACAGTAGTTACATTTCAGAAAGTAACTTTCTTATTTAAACTATTAATATCTGGTCTACTTCTAGTGCTTCACTGGATAAACTAATTACCTATTCTCTTCTTAAAGAGAACATCCCCTTGAAAAAAATAATAGAATAATTAAGGATATCACACAATAGACCTATCTAAAAGAGCATGACATAAGAACTTTGCCTATTATTGATACCAAGGAGGTACCACCTTGGTGATGCTCAAGGAAAAAATCCAAGAAATAAAGATAAAATTATATACAAATATACAGTTAGTTAAAAATATGACAGCATGACATATCTACTGGGAACTATGGGAGGTGCACATCCCCTGCCTTTAACCACTGCCACTGGAAATTTGCTAAAGAAAAATAACACTATAATAGTTCAAAATCACCCACTTTCACCTTTTTTGCCAGTTACAATTTTCACGTTTAATGTAATTATAGTTCACCCTCCAATTCAAGACCACCTTTGGAGACCGGAAATTTGGGGTGGTCTTGAGGTTTTGTCTCCAATTAGAGGGTTAGCTTTGTGTTGAAAAATTAAAGATTGTTGTTTGGTTCAAAAAAGTGGTTTCGAATTAAAATAGTCTCAGAATAATAGTCCTCAACCTCTACCATCTGAACTTTGCATTCTTTTCCTCCCACCCCCTCCCCCCCTCTTTTCAATAAGCTGCCCATGGTAATAGACTAATAATCCTAGATATTCCACTGTTTACAGATCGTTGCTGATTTAGTATCGAGTGTTGAAGAATGATATATTTAGTTTTGTTTTGATTATTTCGCACTTTAACACATTTTTCTTTGGATTAACAATACATGTAGCGAGTATGAATGAAGCTGATGTTAGTCTTAAAAGATTAATGCCCTTCGACGTAATACACATTCTAAATTAGGACCGTTTATTTTAGTATCCAGGGTACAGTTAGTTAAAAATATCCGGATTGTAAATTAATGGCTCTGTCTATAGGGTTGAAAGTATTTCTGGGTTATATTTTGCTTCAGTTCTCATTGTTCGTCATCCAGTTTGATCTTGGCACGATAGATTGGCTATCATATTTTTACGCAAAATGTGACGTCTTTAATGGCTACTAGTAGTTAGTGACTGGATCAGTTGTTAATTAATTAGATGTTCCTAATTGAACTTAGAAGAATTTATTTTTAATTAGTTACAGTAGAGATAGGCCTACAGTATATTGTCTGTGTTGTACTAAATTGACTTGAAATATCAAAATCAATATTTGGATTACTATATTTTATTTATTTATTTAATCTTTCTTTATACTGTAGGGACTTTCAGTATGATAGTACTGATTTTCAAAGTGGTACAGTGATGAGAAACATATACAGTAGAAATAAAAACAGAGAAGAAAATAAAATAAAATTTGAAAATATTATTTTAAATGATTCTGGAATGAAAAAGTCAATCCAGCTTTTGGATGATCGATATAAAAAAGTTCTTTTTCCCTGTCCAATGTTATACATTGGAAGAACCAGGTTGTTATGGGTTTGGCTACGTGTGCCTTTAGAATGGGTAGTATTGTTAAAGGTAAATTTTAAAGACAAATATTGAGGGGCATATCCTTTTAAGCATTTGAAAGTCATAAGAAGTAATTTTTCATTCCAAATCACATTTTGTACAAATTAAGGTATACATTTTAAATTGAGCAACAACATACCTGCGTGCACCCAAGTGTGACAGTGACGCTGTTTCGACATCAGCGGGTGAATCCATCCCGGACACCTAATCATGCGCGAATGAGCCTATTTAAGGCCATTGGCCTATGTGTTTGTGTATTTTTTTTTTAGATTTGTCTTTTTGTAATTTCACTGATTTTTTTTTTCACTGGTTTGGAATATTTAGGGATTGGACTTTCTGTAATTTCTCTAATTTTTTTCTAATTTTATTCACTGATTTAGTATTATTTTATATATATTCATTCATTTTCAAACCAATTTTTTTTTATAAATAACATAAAATTTTAAAAAGCTCATATTTGTCAAAGTTCCATGACCTTTTCCAATGAATATCAGTGCATTATCAGTTTAATGACTTACTTTTTCATTTCCAGACCTGTTTTTTTTTTGTATTGTTCGAGTTGTATTGATTTTAATGTCTTGTATTTTGGTCAAATGATTGAACGAAAGTGATCATTAATCGTTGGTGTTCAGCAACACAAGAAATATAATTTTAATGGAGATGGGCATGTCATTATGTAAAAGGAAGAGAAGACAAAAGATGGAAACAAGAGTAATGGGTCAAACGCCAAGAGATCAGGCCAGAAGATAACAAACAAAAAAGATGATGGACGGAAAGCAAGAAATTTAGTGGCTTTACTGTACATATATATTGGAGAGGAGGTGTCCTGAAGAAGAGTTGATGATGTTTGTCTGCTGTAATATAAATTAAAATTAGATTTACCAAAAAATATATCAAAGAAACAATACTTTTATCATCATTCTAAATGAATTTGTTCAAAGACAAGGAATTGATTTATTTATAACAGTCAACATTTATTTCTATTAAATCAGTTCAACAATTTTATTTACGATTTAAAAAATAAAATATATTTTTGAATGGTGAATTTTTCCTGTCTGCTTTTCTCTTCAAGGTTATTTTTTAAGTTGACTGCAGTATGTCTGTTTTCCAATTGGTTTATGCTTGTCTGGTGCTGTATAATAAACTTCTGTTGACTGCTGTATTAATAATATTTCAGAGCGCTGTTTGTTTACTTTGGAGATGTTTTTCAAAGCGAGCCAGCTTCATTTACAATGTACTAAGGAATTGTTGATGTCATACAGTAGGAGTGTTACGTAACTATCCAGTTACAAATTGTTGTAATTAACAATGTTGACTTTTATTATTGTGTTACTCAGAACAGTGTTTATAATTTCTTAGCTACAGTATGACATGAAAACATGTGGTATTATTAATCTAAATAAGTAATTCAAATTGTTGTGACGTATATTAACTAACAGTGGTTTATGTTAGTTTTATGTATATTACCTTTACAACAGTAGATGCATTCAACATACTGTAGGTGATTAATTTGGGCCCTCATATCATACTTTATTTGTCCACAGAACAAAATGAAAAACATAAAATATGTATCTTACTATATCAAATTGCAAGGTACATTTAACAAATTTAAATTGAATATAATTTACTAAAATTCTACATACATACATACATACATAAGATATGCCATTGGTTTATTTATTATAATTCTAATTATGCATTTATTGTTTTAAAATCAATATTTCCTGATAAGAATTATACTCAAGGTGTACAGTATGGTATTCTTTTTTTGTTTTTATCTCTCCAGTCATACTAGTTGAGTAGTTACCTTTTACCTGTGTCCATGTTCTTCAAATTCATTAGTTTATAGTAATATAGAGGCTGCTTCAGTAGTTGTACACAGATATGACTGTGATGATGTAGCTTTTTAGAAGTTGAGATATATTAGACACTTTTTTGAACAGTGGGTATTTACTGTATGGTCCTATTGAGTGACATTTATATTTGCATTCTTCAGACTACATCCAATGTATGAGGTAAATGGACATGACAACTTAAAACTTGTATTATTTGTATGTAACTTTGCAGGTTGTTATATGGGTCGACCCACTGGATGGAACCAAGGAATTTACAGAAGGTGTGTCAATTCAACAGTTTAATTAAAAGATCAATATGAATCAATATCCTTAATGATGTAAACATAGGTGAAAGCAAAATTACACATTATATGCAAAATAAGAAAACTCAATATAATAACTCATTAAACTCGTCAAGTGTTCTTAACTAGCAAAGTAATGAATTTCTTAGCAGTGGGTATTCTTGGGTGTTGGTTGCATTCAATTTATTTAACTTTTGTTCATATTTACTTTTCTTCCTTACCTTCTCAATGTTGAACTATTTGGAAATTACTAAATCATTAAGTCTGTAAAGGGTGTGATTCCTTGGTCAATGCGATATAAAGTTAAATCAAAATGTTAAAATTTCTTTTTGAACTACTTTTTATATCTTCTACGCAGGTACAAAATACTTGGACCATGTTACTGTGCTTATCGGTGTTGCCGTTAACGGCAAGCCAGTGGGTGGTGTCATTCACCAACCGTTTTATAAGTTTGACACGGACAGTCAAACATATGTTGGCAGAACCATGTGGGGTGTTGTCGGCTTGGGCGCCTTCGGATTCAAACATGAGGACCAAACACAAGGAAAAAGAATTCTAACGACCACAAGATCGCACGGCACAGAAGCAGTCCAAGAAACTCTACGTGCAATGGAGCCAGATGAGGTACTACGAGTCGGCGGTGCAGGCCACAAGGTAAGTTATCAAGAATGGTCATTTTATAAACAGTGGGGCTTGTCTCCCAGTGTACCGCCCTATTTACCATCAGTATGAGAGCTGCACTGCAAATTATGTGGTATCCCAGTGACCTCATGTAGGACCAGTTCATTTATTTATTTATTTTAATTTTAATTATTATTTTTTAGTAAATTATATTTAGTGTATTTTTATCAAAACCGACATTCAGAAATAAATTACTTTATGTAAAGAATACCAAATGTGATTCAATTACATTTGAACAAAACTGGCAACATTTAATGTCTATACAGTAGTTACAATCGGAGTACCATACCATATCAGCGAGTAAAGCAAATTTTCATGTTACCTATCGTTTGTTAGGTATTGCTTGTGCTGGAAGGCCGTGTGAGTGCCTATATCTTTGCAAGTATGGGATGCAAAAAATGGGATACATGTGCACCGGAGGCCCTGTTGGTAGCTGTTGGAGGTAAGGCAATAAATTCACATTCCAGTCAACTTTAATTTGCAAATGATATTTCAAATATTTAATTGTCATTCAGCAAACTCAACTATTAAAATGTTATTATAATTATTATTTTTGTGTGACGTGAATAGACGATTTTCTTGCATTATGCGCTATTAAAATGTAACTTGTTAATATTATTATTTCATGTGGATAAAAATATTTATTTACTGCAAACAAGATAAAAAAGTAAATTGCCTCTGTTAATATTTGGAAAAACTTGCACAATGAAAATAATAGAAAACTTTGGTGATCTTTTTAAATACGCAATTGCTTATTTACAAGGATCAAGTAAGTTTCATTTGCTGTTGAAACTCATTTGCATGTACTTTTATCTCTTTATCCATTCAGAATTCTGTTCTCAAAAAAGAAAAAAAAAATCAGCCAGTATGAGTTCATTTTAAAGTTTTAATTGTCTTTAGTCACTTCCATACTTCGGCAGTATCATTTAAGCACATATGGGCCTCTATCAATACACATCATTATTATGATTATTCATAGGATTGATGTCAGTATAATAAACCACAAATCCTCTCCATATGTTTGAAATAAATGTCATCATTTAAGATTTGGAACAAAGCTTAGTAAAGAACTTAATTCCTTTCTTGATTGAAATGGCTACAAAGAAAGCTGTACTATCTATATTGAACTAATAAACTTCAACATTAAAATTCTATATTTGAATTTCTTTGTGTATTTATTATTTTTAAATTAGTAGCTCTCAATTAAAAATTAGAGCAAGAAAATAATGTTCTTAATAATACAGATGTGCAAATTATACCATTTTGATATATTTTGCATAGACTCTAAAGCATTATCTTCACTATCAAATTTGATGTGACAAATAAATATATGCCCATATTTGGATGTAATACGACATCATCAGGAACATGACATTTATTTGTCACATAAGATTTGATCATGTTTACAGAGTTTTCAATTGGCTATCAGTCAGTTAATAAATTTGAATATGATTTTTAAAAATTAATATACTATATATAATAAATATTGGATTGGTATTAATTATGCAAGGAAAATAATAATTTTATCCTTTTAATATTAGTTGAACAACTTGCTTAAAGGAAGCAATATTTAATTTGATTTTACTTATAGGTGAACCTGTGGATCATATTAATGTGTGCTCCATTTTTTCAAAGTTATAAATGATAGATTTATAACATTTTCGAACATTATGCTACATTCACAAGTTTACAGAAAAAGATAGAAAGGCTCATCAAGATTATGTGACAAGTTGTTGATAAAGATGGACAATCTCATGAACGTCATTCTTGTGTGGGATGCGATCGCATCTCGAAAATGACATCATTCACTGACCGTCACTAATTGTATTTTATGAGAGTACTTTGTGACCTTTATTTATTGTATTGTATCATATGAATCTATAGCCTTTACTAATTGTACTATCTTAGTCCATATATATATCAGTCAAGTGCATATTAAATGCTTCTGGTAAGAACACTTAAGATAAACTGATAGACAAAAGCTAATGAACGTTTATAAATAAATAAATACAAATTATCTTCTGATTTTACCACTGCTTGCATTGAAATTGAAGTGAAATGAATTGAATAGTGTAACTTTATAAAGATGCACTGCCAACTTATTATTTTTTTCAGGGCATGAAAAAAGTAATTAAACAGCATATTTTTAAACATTTTTTTGGCTAGTGTTTATTTGGGTTTATATGTGAAAAATGTTAACATCAAATAAATTTTGCTTTTTAACAGGAAAACTAACCGATGTACATGGAAATGTCTATAGGTATGACAAAGACATTACACACATGAACACCGGTGGTGTGGTGGCCGCATACAGAAAACATGAATTCTACATCGAACGAGTTCCCCAGTCTATTAAAGATGTTCTTCCAACTCAGTGAACCCTGGCAGTGGAGTGGGTTCGGTTCCTCGGTGCTCTCTAACCCTCCCCACTCCCTCAAGGGGAAGTGTTTGACACATTGATGGGGTGATTATTATTGAAAGCTGAATTTAGAACCAGTCTGGTATGATTAAATGATTGATGAGCGAGATGAGATCTTAAAGGAGATGAGATTCTAAAGTTTAATAATGACGAAGTTAGTTCTTGGAATGCCACTTTGAAGTTTTGTAAAGTAATGATAATGTAACAATAAAAATGTTTAATATGTGTAATGATATTTGCTATTTTATTAACATTATTATATTTATTATGGTTATTGTTGTTGTTATTGTTATTATAAAGATAGACCAAATCCTTGAGATTAGATTAATAAATGTTTTAATGCTGTTAACTTTGTTAGGTGTTTGATATTGAATCAGTTTGTACACATTTTCATCAATTTTATGTAATATCAATGATTATTTCAGAAGTATAAATTTTGATACACAATTTACACTAAAAGTTTACATTTATAATTTATTATGAAAGCTAAATATATATTATGTAAAAATAGAATTATCAACATCATCGTTTTTATTATTATTTTATTATTATTATTATTACTGTTGTTATAAGATTGTCATTGAAGTTGTCAGCTGAGATATGTGCTATGCTTTGACCAAATACATAAATTTCCAACTTCAGAGTTTTATCTAATTTTGAAAATATGTGGTGTGAGCAACGATTATTTTTATTGGTCCTTAAGCCAGACTTTCAAAGTGTTTATCCAATTACCTTCTTGGTTATATAGTACTGAGTTGTAATTTGTTTTAGATATATGTGGTGACAGTCTTTCAAATACAGGTACTTGCGTGTATGGACATTTTTATATAGGTTTTAGAAAAACCTGAAATGAAAAAAGAAAATTGTTAAAAAATACATTTATAATATGTTATCACATTCATCTTCTAATTTATATCAATAGAATGTTTTCAGTGCAATAAAAATGCTTTTAAATTAAAATAAATTCCATCACTCTATCAACTCTGAAATCATTAGATATTCTGTCTATGTGGTAGCCACCCTCTGAATGAAACCAATAGATATTCTTCCTATTTGGTTTCAACCCTCTGTTCTGTTACATTAAGCTGTCTAATGTCATTAGACATTCTATCTATGTGGTATCTACCCTCTGAAACCAATAGGTAGTCTGTCAATGTAGTATTCACCCTCTGAAAAACATAGGCATTTTAAGAGTATTAAATCTACCCTAAAAACATAGAAATTATGTTCATTGTAGTATCCATCTACTGAAATCTATAGAAATTCTGTTTATGTTGTATCCACCTTCTAATACTGTATAATTAGAACTATTCTCTTTATTGTGTAAACACCCTCTGAAGTTAGTTAATACAGTATTCTGAAGAAGTTCTCCAATGCTTATTGGATCATTTCGTTTTAAGATTATTAAATCTACCCTAAAAACATAGAAATTATGTTCATTGTGGTATCCATCTACTGAAATCTATAGAAATTCTGTTTATGTTGTATCCACCTTCTAATATAATTAGATAATTAGATAGAACTATTCTCTTTATTGTGTAAACGCCAGTAGCATACGTAACACATGTGTTTGTGGGACATGCCCTGTTTTTTATTGGTCAGTTGTTTGGTTCATGCATTATTCTTCTTGCACTTGAATCCTTCAACATGTAACTATTAATTATTCGTTTCATGTTTTCTTTGCAATACATATTATCTTTCCTCCAGTTTTATTGTTTAGGCAGACATTTTTATTCCTTGTTTCGGGTACTATTTTTTTTAAAGATCATCTGAGGAGGGCAGAATAGAAATAAACATAAAATTTTGTTTTCTTATTTAGCAAATAGTTTTGCCAAAAACGTCCAGACGGAGGAGAAAATTAAAATAAAATGTTATTGGTGAATGTAAAATAGAATTCAAATTATATAATTAGGAAGAAATATACATATCTTATCTTTGGAGATTTCAAGGCAGCGGAGGGCGTAATAAAATTTTTTTTTCCTAAAATTTCCACTTTTTCGTGGCGGCGGGTGTGCGCTAATTGGCCAAAAATAAAATTTTATTTTTATTCGATATCATCAATATTTGCAGTCAGCGGGTTCGCTAAACAAGGTCTCTCCTTAGCGATTTTATGTGAGTTACATATTTTTGTTACATCTGACATGAAATAAGGTGCTATTACTTGAATTCCATTTGGGTTAAACTCAAAATGTTATGAGACCCATGTTCACCTTGCCAGCGATTTATCGGATAGATTGTATTTTCCAGTTGCTTAGCATCTGGTGTCTATTTTTGCAGCCGAAATTTCTCTAAACTAAGAATCAAATTATTCACACTATTGCACTAATAATTGTACTAAAATATCATTCTAGTCGCTGTGATGTCATAGAAGAAACTGAATTTTCTAGAATACAACTATATCTAGTTGATTATTATGTGAACAAGTTAAAAATTTAAAACAAAAAATGACCAAAAATACATAGTCCTACGGTCGTAGTTTATTAAATAGTCGCTCATGTAATTCGAAATTTGATGTCAGTTTATTGGCGATATAAAAAGAAGAAAATTTAGTATTTAGAACGTTTCCTTGAAAGTATGTAATTTCATATTTAGGATGAAATTCTAATGAAGATAGATCTAAGAATTCTTTACACGTTTAACTATGTTACGTAAATTGTTAATTTATAAGCATTAGCCTTCTTTTCAAACACCGTGCTCGTATTTTCTTGACATTGTATCGAGATATGTGGTTTTCCGATTTGTATGATTTAATACGGTAAACACCAAATACTCGTGTAGATTTATGAGAGTGAATAATATTGTACCACCCACTACTTATCCAATTAACAAAATATCGTCATTTCACTGACATCAGTAATGAAACGCTTTTGAAAGTCGTCATTTCGGTGTTAATACACATCGTGACGTGTTATCTTGTTTCCCTTGCGTCGATTGTTTTTTACGCGTTGTCACCATTGTCGCTTAACGAATTTGCGTGGTGCTACGCGCAATCGTGACATTCCTTCGTGCGTCATATATTGCCTTGTATGGGGCATTTAACAAGGTTGTATTGTATATTTTAACCCACAATTTCATTTATTCTTCAAGATGTTTACAAACAATTGAAACGTTTTGAAGGTGAATAGCTTTATTTCTGACAGAGACGCTCAGAAGTAGGCCTATTTAAAATGGGAAGTGTTATTATTTGGCGGTAACTTCAAAGTGGCATTCTGATTTTGTGATTGATTTTATTTAAGATTATAGTATGAGAGTGTACTTCACAACTGTAAGCTCGGAAGCAGTTTGTATTCTTACTGATTGCTAGAGTCCGATATGATTCTACTAATAGAGAAAATATTTTATGGAAAAACATATATTACAATCCCGAATTAAAATGTCTAAAGAATTATTTTGGTTGTTTTTGTTTTTCATTTTTGTGAAAAGAATATCACGGGTTTAGTGGAGTAGGGGTGTGGTAATGTTAGTTTATGTGTCTGATAACCCTGCTACGTCGCGTCCTGGCAACGTCAGTCTTTTATATTACAGCAAGGAATGTGCAAAACAGAATGCTACAAATGTATAGCGCATTATTACAGGAACAAAAGCGAATTTTCGAAAGAACAAAGATCTCTACTTAAACTAACAAATACATACATAACAAGACATAGGCTACAACATGTAGGCCTAATCCACTACTTAAACATCGCGAGAATATTTTTGTATGTATTTGGAATTTAACTTTTTAAAATCTCGATTGAAAATTTAGTGACGGATTTTTGTTTTTAAATGGAGAAACAAAGAAAATTATATTTAAATTTAAGTACCATTTCCGGCCATCTGGAGGTGCCATAATCATACATTTCACAAGAAATCCCTCCTTGGGCCCCCTCTATTTCGTATTCCTGGATCCGCCACTGAAATACATGAGATAAAAAAAATAACAATGTAACACAAGTTAACATAAACACAATACAAAGGTAATATACAGTGGTAGGCCTATAGCATAAATACTTAATAGGCCTACGATACGATACACTATTAATTTCAGTTTCATAATATTTGTCGACTCTAGTGGTTAAAAATAAAAAATAGTACATGATAAAAACAAGGTAATAATAGTATATAGAATAAATAAATAATGTAATAATAATAATAATAATAATGAATATAGGTGAAATTATGGGTTTTTTAAAGTTGACTTAGTTAAACATGAAATATTTTCTAAAACGAATACAAACGACAAATATAAAAGAAACACAAAATCGAAAGATAAATAAATACCGTACATCTAACCTCCATCTACCACCCCTTTCCCCTTCACCCTTAACTGAAACTCACCATTTCTTTTCTCAGTCGCGCGATACTGCACTCATACTCATTCATAACCCTCAGTTTCCCTACATCATTATTATTACAGTAATATGTATTTGTTTATATTCTTATACCGAATAACGATATTCATCGCTATAGAGATATAAGCCTACAATGAAAATTCGCATGGCAAATAAATTGGTTTTATATTTGCAGTTGGGAGGGGGTAAGTGCCACACACGTGAATTCACCCCGTTGCCTTTTTTAGTTCAATTTCTTATAATAAAATTCCTGTATTTTATAGTCCCATTATTTTCTTAGATAAAATTGAAATGAATATCCTTTTTTGTTAAAATTGAATTTTAATCGATAAAGTATTAGGACATAATCATCGAATAACGGCACAATTTTTAAATTTTATGTTCTTTAAGTAACCCCGTGAATGCGCATTTTTTTGTATTCTTTGCATATCCAGTTATATAGGCCAACCATGAATTTTCCTGTTACTTTTTTAATTTACATTTATTCGTTTGTATTTTATGTATGTTTACTCTACCATCTGTTCGTTTAATTTCTGTGATAAATATAAAATGTAAAAACACATCAGTTTTGATAATATCTCAACATTCGGAATACGGTACTTATTGCTGTAATTGCTGAAATATATTTCTGGCTCAAGAAGCATCTAAACAGTTTAAACCGTATATTTATTACAATCATATTATAAAATATTTGGATTTACGTCTGCGAAATGTAAACATTAACCCTACCGGCTGCTGACATGGCGCGTTCAGCAAGATCTTGCATCCATCTTACATCGATCTGTAACAGTGACTGCGTTAGGAGGGTCTGCGAAAAATGTAATAAGGAACACAAACACAAGGAATGTGAATATAAGTTAATATAACCATTTTATATTTAAGTTAACTAAAATTAATCGTATTGGCAACAAAAGCATATTATTGCGATATTGGTTGTTTTCTAAACAGTAAATAATTTCGGAAATTTATAAAGCGCCAATTAAATCAATTATAAAAGGTGCTGGTGGATCATTCATACATCAGAACTTGAACTTCTTCAAATATTTTTTAAAATGTTTTTTAAAATGACGAATTGCGAACAGAAAACTGTAAACAACATCTACCACGTAACAATCTGTAATTCAATTTATATAAACCTGATCTATAATAAAGTAAACAACTGTAGTTTGGGGAATATCGTCATTTAAAATACCGTGTAATCTGTAATAAATTAAATATAAGACTGATATACAGATATCGTAATAGGACCTTATAGTAAAGTTATCTAAACTTCTGATTCGACGTAGCCTGTAAAATTATTTATGTAGACCTATTCAACCATGTTTCGATGTGTTTTCACAAAAAGCTAATACAGGCTCAAGAAATATAATATCAATAAAATTGTACGTCATTAAATATTACATCATCATCATAAACGTATTCCGCGGCGCTGCATAATGCCAACATACATGTCATGTGTTACATAGCCTGTACGGTATATAATTACATCGATGTCATTTATATAATTAATGTTGAGACGATTAAATTATTGATTTTTATTAAATAAAATGAAAACACCAATATTGTATGTTGTTTTCAATTATATTTCACAATATTATTTATCATAAACATATTCCTGGGCCGATACATGCTTTATTTGAGCTCTGGAATCGCTTGGAAGTTAGGCCTAGCATAATATGTACGGTTAACACCGTTCCTTATAGGCCTATCTGACATGTTTGCATTTCTATGTTAATTTAGGCCTTCATCTCATTTGTTTCGATATGTTTTTTAATAGGCTATGATAAGTTTTACCTAACACATTAAAAATTAACAGTATACCAAATATCGATAATATGATATTCAAGAAGTCAAGCTTTTTCATATTTATTATTATTCTCTTAATTTTTATACAATAATTGTAAGAACACAACTAAAATACTTAGCCAAAGCAAACTCCCAGACAGCCTAAATATACCTTAACTACAGCAATAGTCGAAGTATTCGTTGGAATAAAATTTGGTGTTTCTAAATTCAAGTTCTACGTACCTGGGTTAATGATTCTTTATAAAATGTATGTCACAATTACCTTGTCGTCTGTCAGTCTGATAACCAGATGGTGCAGTAGACTGTGCTCCACTAACTCTGTCTCTTATACACATCTAGATGTGTATAAGAGACAGTATATATATATATATAAATCAAGATAGCCGTTAACACTCTTAAATTATATATACATAAATCATATATACATAAATTATATATACATAAATTTCTTTGATGATTTATGTATATATATATATATATACTATATATATATATTTATATATTTATTTATATATATATAGGCCTAGATATATTTATATGTATATTGACATATAAATATACTTATAGCTCTCATGTT